TTCCCTACAAGATAATTACATTATAGAATTGAAATTTAACAACATTTTCAAAATACTATTAAAAATTAAAAATTACGTAATAATTATCATGGTAATATCATATAATCGTTAGTTTCATGATATTAAAATTTTCTATTCTGATAATATTTCAAAAAATTTACTAAATTCTAATTTTACTATATAAATTTTGCAATATAGGTCAAGAACTCATTTTTCCTTTGAAAAGGAGAAAATTGCTAAAATCAACTGAGTTGATCATTGTATTTGTCTTTTTTTTTTCTTTAAAAAAATATATAATTATATACATATATATAATTAAAAGAAAGAGAATCTTTGATCATTGTTTTTTTTTAAATCTATTATTTATGCCATTACACTTTAATGTCACTACAGAAAATAACTTACATGATACAAAAAATAACTTGTAATTTATAAAAAAAAAAAAAAACTTATAAATTACAAAAAATAACCATATAACTTATAAATTATTAGTGATATAAAATAAATTTAATAACAGTGATAACAATAAAATAATATTATTTTATTTATAACATTTTTGCAAAAGCGGGTCCGGCTTATATTAGCTCGTATGCAAAAGGTGAAGCCCAAAGGCCCAGACAACGATAGAAGCGAGTGAGCGAGCGAGCGAGCGATTGATTGATTTGTGCGTCTACATTGCAATTTGCTGCGAACCCTAATTTTCAGAAACCAAAAAGTACATAAATCGCCAAAAATCGAACCCTTCCCTTTCTTTCTCTCATTCACTCACTCCTTCGTACTTTCAGGTAATTCGATTTGAATATTCAATTCTTCCTACACTTTTCTCAAATCTGTATTCGTCAATTTCCGTTTTCTTTTTTTTAAGTTTTGTTATTGTGAAGGAGTCTATGCCTTTGAACTGTGTAATCTAAGGATAAATAGCACAATTTTTTGTATTCGTCAATTTCCGTTTTTTTTTTTTTAAGTTTTGTTATTGTGAAGGAGTCTATGCCTTTGAACTGTGTAATCTAAGGATAAATAGCACAATTTTGGTAGCAAAATCGGACCTTTTTTATGGTCTTTGAATTGGGTTTTCTTATTTGTTGATAACTTTGCTTTTGTTATTGTCAATTTGCGAAGTTGCTTTCAATCATATAAATAGTTTCAGAGGCAGTATTCAGTTTTAATGGTGCTTTTTAGAGGTGGGTTTTGTTTTGTTTGCAGAATGGCGTCTGTGTCGAGTCAGCCACAGTTTCGGTACACGCAACCACCATCCAAGGTTCTCCATCTAAGAAACTTGCCTTGGGAGTGCACAGAAGAGGAATTGATTGAGCTTGGGAAGCCCTTTGGTAAAGTTGTGAACACCAAATGCAATGTTGGGGCAAACAGAAACCAGGCTTTTATTGAATTTGTGAGTCTAGTTTTGCTTCTAGTTTGTTCTTTTCAACAAATATTTTATTGGGTTATTTACTATTTTATAACATCCATTTTGGATGACGACTTTACTAGTTATGAGATATAGAGTGAATAGGTTGATCATCACCAATTTGATGATAATCTTTAAAGGTGAAGTCGTCAAAAGTAGTAGTTGACAGGTTGACTTTGCTTATAGATTTGATAAGAAATTGAAATTCAATGGTATAATGTTATAGGGTGAGTTAGACATAACTATTCAGTTTGAAATATAGTAAAAAAATTTGGGATATATTACAAATAGCAAAATTAAAAATCATTATACTACTAATTCTTTTTTCCTAAATTATTTCAAAATTTATATATTTCAACTTCACTATTATAAACTTGCTATATAATGTAAATTATACTGTTTTGTAAGAAAATGCAGGTTAAAATAGTAAATAACTATTTTAATTTTTCTGTTTTTTTTTTTTTAAAGAAAATTACTAACTTGTTTTTTGTTTACCATATTTAGGCGGATTTAAACCAAGCTATTGCCATGATATCATATTATGCCTCATCCTCAGAGCCTGCTCAAGTTAGAGGAAAAACTGTCTACTTACAGTATTCTAATAGGCAGGAAATAGTGAACAACAAAACTGCCGCAGATGTTGCTGGTAATGTACTTTTGGTAACAATAGAAGGTGAAGACGCGCGCCTTGTCAGCATTGATGTTTTGCATTTGGTAAGCTTTCTTTCTTAGTGTAGTTACAAGGATATTTATACACGTAATTGTGTGGATGTTGATGAGCTATTGTGTTTTGGTTGTACTTTTGTTTGAAATTTTATTTTGTTTGACATGAATGTGAATGGATCAGCAGGCCCATGTGAAGGCAATATCTTTGATGGCAGCTTAGTGCATCGGGGGAAAGAGCGCATGTGTGTTTGTCTCCTTTCTCCTTCCCTTAACACCGCCTCTTTCTTCCCTACTCTTCCTCCTCAACATCCTAGCTCCTTAAGTTCTAATATATGGGACGTGATGATTTCTTTTCTCTTGTGGATCACTCTTCCCTTCACTTTTTGCATGTTATTCGGGGGCTATTAGTTTTTGTGGGCTGATTCATGTCTGGGACAGTTGGTTTTCAAACTTGTCCCAAATAGGGTTTCTTCTAATTGATGCACTGAAAATGTGTACTTCATTGGATTTCATAATGAAGGCTCGTGAATCAAAATCTAACCATGCTTAATTAAGCTAGATGATTGAGACATTCCTTTAGATGATGAGCCAAAATTATATGCTTGTTATGCCTTCTTAGCAATTTATTTCTTGTTATCTCTTGTGGATGAATTTAAGGATATCCGGGGATTTGGTACTTAATATATTTCTGAAACTTGGAAGTGATGCAGGTATTTTCAGCTTTTGGATTTGTGCATAAGATTACTACCTTCGAGAAGACTGCTGGATTCCAGGTCATTATTGGTTAATTATATCCCCTTTTATTCTCCTTAAAGCTACAGTATTCAAACAAACTAATTTTATATTTATTTTTCAGGCACTAGTGCAATTTTCAGATGCAGAAACTGCTACTTCAGCAAAAAATGCCCTTGATGGAAGAAGCATTCCTAGGTGACAGTTGTATTACTTGTTTGACATGGTATTATGTCCAAGTCCAACTGCTATGGACCATATAGACAATAAAAGTGGCGAGCATCTGTTTTGCCTGCTCAGCCCCTTAGCTTTAGATACTATTACTATTGGGATGCATTATTCTGTTAGAAGTCGTATGCATTCTTAATTTTCAAATACTTTTTACTTCTATTGAAAAGTAAGCAAAAACAATCACTATTCATGTTATGCTAATGGGTCCAATATTGCTATGGAAAATGACCCTAGTCTTTTTCGTGCATCAATTCTAGTGCTTAAGTAGTTGCTGTTCCTGCCTTATTTTCTTACATCATCATTTGCTTAGTTGTGTTGCTTTGGGTGTCAGGTATCTGCTTCCTGAGCATGTTGGATCATGTACCCTGAGGATCACATATTCTGGACATACGGATCTGAGCGTGAAATTTCAGTCCCACAGGAGCAGGTACTCGGATGTTCATTTGGTGTCTATGTGTTGACATACCAGATTATGTGATATGCCCTCCTATGTTGTTTTGTATCTATGTGCCTTGTTCTTTTGTTGCTAGTATGTCGCTATTTGTTAATGTGATTTTTTTCCTAACAGTATTTGAATTACAACGTTTGTGATCCAGGGACTACACTAACCCTTATCTTCCTGTTGCTCCATCAGCTATAGATGGGAGTGGTCAGGTATGGCTGTGAATTTTAATCATGGTTATATTGTTTATGGCAATGGCCGGTTTTTATTTTGTTGGCATTTGAAATACATGTGCTATAAGTATGAGGGGTCCCATATTCCATTTCTTGAATATCATGTGGTAGTGCCTCGTTGACCAACTATATGATGTAGTGTTTTGGTTCCTTTTGGATGGCTTAAAAAGGCAATAAATAGCATCATGGTTAGTGGTTACATTCCACATCTCTTTTTGAGTATATGTCAAATAGGTTGGCTTAAACTGTTATGTCTGAATTAGAACCAAGCTATTATTACTTTCAATTTTTCTTTTTAAAAGAGTGGCTTATATTGTGATGGTATTAAACTCTATGATGCTCGAGAATTGAGATTTTTCCTATTTACATATGGTTTTACATTGGAATTCTCTGTTTGTGTTGTTGATAAATGGTATTCATCAAATTCTATGATTGCAGTTTGTTGTGGGTTTGGATGGGAAGAAGCTAGAACCTGAGAGTAATGTGCTGCTTGCATCCATTGAAAACATGCAGTATGCTGTCACCTTGGATGTTTTATACATGGTGTGTCCATATACTCCAAGCAATTGAATAAACTTTCTTACTGGAGAATGCTTCTGTTAGAACAATTGAATAGAACTTGTATCTTTTCCCCTTTGGATAGGTGTTTTCTTCTTTCGGGCCTGTTCAAAAGATCGCGATGTTTGATAAGAATGGGGGAGTTCAGGCTTTGATTCAATATCCTGGTAATTTCCCGTGTCTTCTTCTTTTATAATATGACGTTACTATTTTCTTAAGGTATCTTTAAGTCCTTGGGACGCTAAGGTGATGACCTCATTGCTATCTTGGGAGCTATACGTTGGCAGAAGCGTCTAGTATTGTATGAAATCGTCTGTTTAAGGATTGGAACGCATTTAGCTTAGTGCAACTGTGGATTCCTTGATATAAATGTTGTTCTGATTTATCTTTTAAATGCATCTCCAAAGAGTTTGTTGTTGAGGTGTTGATTTTACGTATTGTGGGATGCAGATGTTCAGACTGCAGTTGTTGCTAAGGAAGCCTTGGAAGGACATTGCATTTACGATGGAGGGTTTTGCAAACTACATCTCTCGTATTCACGCCATACTGATCTGAGTATTAAGGTAAATGAATTAGTTTCTCAAAAATCTTGGCTGAATGTTCGAGCTCCTTTACTTTTTGTTTTTCCTTGACGTTTTATTTATGCAACTTATAGACAAATGGAACTTGGCGACCTGAGCTTAATGTACTGTTTACAGGTCAATAATGATCGGAGCAGAGATTATACTCTCTCTAACGTTCCGATGGTCAATGCCCAGCCTTCCATTTTAGGTCAACAGCCAGTTCCAATGATGGCTTCAAATCCTCAGTACTCTGGGGCTCAATTTGCTCCAACTGAGCAGGTCGGAATGCCACAGAATTCAGCGGGATGGGCAACTGGTGCTCCGCAGGTACCTCAGTCCATGGCCATGCCCATGGCCATGCATAGTCATCCGTACATGCCACCTGGGGCCATGCTTCCTCACCCTGGAATGAGGCACCCGCCAGGCCAGAACGGCCCACCGCAGGCGACAATGGCCCCATATCGTCCGGATGGGATGCAATAGTGCTTGCCTTGGGTGTTCCAATCCTTTGTCTTCTGCTCAATGAGGCAAAGCCTACAACGGTATTACAAGGAGTTTGGATTGTGACAATGGGACAACGACCCACTTCTGGAAGTCTCGGAATCCTTATTTCATTTTCCATTTTTATTCGTGAAATTTGATGACGAGATTCTGTAGTCAGCGGGCTGTGAGACCTTATATCGTCCCATGAGTTCTTACTTGTGTAATTTTGTTACCCCTAATGACACCTTTGTTGGAAATTTTCTTTTTTAAAAGTGATTTTAACGTAAAGAAAGCTTCATCTTCAATTTGCGCATAGATTGCATAGAAGTTTTTTTTTTATTTATTATTTATTTTATTATTTTTTGGGTCGAAAACTCCATCGCAGATTTGACAAAGAACAAATGGTCTCTGAACTAGTGTTGGTTTTCATCACAGCTAAAAGTATGACAAATTGACAAGTCGAAAGCATAATTTGACTTTAAGTAGTATGACAAATTGACAAGTCGAAAGTACAAACACGGTTCCTCAACGTTATAGATGGGATTAGGAGTCCAATTTGTTTTTACTTGCTCTCAAACGGCACCATAAATGGCATTCTTCTGAAGCCTTCTCATTATGGACGAATGCAATTTGAAAGTCACAAAAAAAAAAAAAAATGGAAGTAACGTACTCGTATATCTCATATATGATATCTTGTTTGAACAAAGTTGCTCAGAGTACTACTACTAGAATTGGAAACCAAAAGTAGGATATGTATTGACACAAATAACAAAGAAAACACTACAAGGGAACACCATTTTTTAAGGAAGCAAAACTCCACCCAACGAGAACAAGCATATAACGGCAAACAAAATTGCTTACAAGTAATCATAGCAAAATTGTTTCGAGAGCAACAAATTTGTATTTATCCAAAAATACAACAAAGCCATGAAAAACATGAATTGAGGTTACATATGCCTAGTATCCACGTAGCTACTGACAGCAACCTCTCGCAAGAAGGGAAAGCTAAGTATCCCAACAGTGCTGAAAACACGGTTAAGTCACTAACACAGCAGCCTGTGGAGTGTGGACTACTGACTTCCACGTGGCAAGATTTGTAAAATGATTGCATTAATACTTTTTTTTTTTTTTTATGCTTGACCATTTCAAGATTCAAATTCCCTAATTATCCTTTCAGGATATATATATATATATATATACACATACATATTTTATATTATATATATGTATTATATAGAAGATAAGAACGTATCACGAAGAGTGAAGACAAAATTTACTACAAACAAAAGTGGCAAATACAAATATCTAAAACTTGAATCGAGCCATTGACTATCTATTTTTTTAGACCTTTAGTTAGTTAACTGCAAATGGAAACTAAAACATAAAAGCGAAATATACAGACGCCATCTCTCTCCAGCTCACACACACATATATACACCATATAACAGCATACCACCACAGAAAAACCCTGAAGATCACGAGAAGAGAAAGATAAGCCTAGTCTGACTTTTTTTTTCTTTCTTTTTAACTTGGTAGTTCGTAATGCAAGAAAGGGTTTTGAAACCTATATAAGAATTGTGGTTCTTGAGGTAAAGATAGAAAATCGAATGATATAACTCCAAAAAAGAAAACACAAACATGGCAAACAAAAAGAGAAAAAAAGAAAAGTGGGTACAAGCGTGTATGAGATATATACTACTGCATGTCCGTCTCCAAAGCATCCGAGGATCGAAAGCCTCGGAAGCTTCATCCATGGCAGCCTCAACCTCCAAGGTATGGTCCTCACTTCCAGTTTTTCACATCCGATCAATAGGCTCGGTCCTGTCCTGAACTGCCCGCCGCTCTGAGACATCAGCAAGCGATTTAAGATTGCACTTGATCAAGGCTTCAACAAAGTAGCAAGTATCATCCTTTGTGTTCCCCTCAGGCACATCCACCACAAATGACTCGATCACCAGAGTCCCTGGCCTCCCATCAATGATTTCTGGATGTAGGGAACTAATTGAAGAATAGTTCTGGAATATGAAAAAAAAAAAAAAAAAAAAAAAACTTGAGGGATCAATCTGGTTTGATCTGTTTGCATTTCATAGAACTAAAAGCTTAGTTAGTAGCAGAAATATCAGCAGCCAGAAAGCTAGCTCAAATACGGCTAGTCCTCCATGCCTCCCCGATGAAAACAAAGGTAGTAATATGCTATCATCCATTATTTTGAAAGCAAACTTTCTCGTTGGCACTCAGTTCACATGGCAAGCACATACTGTAATCTTTTTTTTTTTTTTTAAGCACTCGCTGTATTAGAAAATCTATCTTTTTCTTTTTGGCTAAAATTATTAGAAATTCTATCTTATATATACCTATGAAAGAGAGAGAGAGAGGTTTTGTCAAATCATAAAAGTAAATTTATAACCTATAACAATAAGAGAATAAGCTTCACTCTCACACGTTGTTCGCAGTTTAATCACCATAAAGAATAATAAATTGTATGAATAGAAAAGGGTTTAAATACGGAAAGGCTATTAATCCCTAATTGGAAAGATACGTGAGTGACACATCAAACATCAGGTTATAACACTAATAAAAAAGACAGAAGTTTCCACAAACTCCAATCCAATTATCCAGCCACATGCTGACCTGTCAAAGCAACATAGGACCTGACTCCATTGTAATATCAACATTCAGAACATAACTTCAGACCAGTAAATTCTTATCCAATTACTAGGGCTGGTAATATGGTTCACGACACGACAACACGACATGAATTTCGCGGGTTAAGATTGAGAAAAAAGAAGTTCGGGTCAGCATTAAGTCGACCTGAAATTGACACGAAAAACACATATCAATTTCAGGTTGGACCCGCTTAACCCAAACACAACACGAAACTCATAAAAAACTAAAAAAATACATATATTTTCATTACATATTTTTGATTTTATTATGAACTTGTGATATCATGAAAGTTCTATTCAAAATCTTATACTATTATTTGCTTAATTTTAATAGATGTTATTGTATTTTAGTGTTTTATGAATTTTAGTGTGTATTTTAGTGTGTTATTGTATTTAAGAGTGTTATGAATTTTAAGTTATTTCTAGTAAGTAAACAATTTTCGTGTCAATTTCAGATTTCACGGGTTAATTTCATGTCACGGATTATTTTCGTATCGTGTCGTGTTAACGCGTAAAACTTAAATGCACATGTATACAAACATTCTCTCTTAAGAAAAATCCAAAAAAAAAAATTGATAGAGAAAAAGAAAAATAGATGGCAGAAAACGCGTAGAACACCTTATCTTGAAAAGACAATCTTCTACTCTTCAAGGTAAAAAAAAGGGTATAAATGTATATATGAGTCGAATAAGAAAATAAAATGATTAAAGTAATTATAAGTGGGAGTACAATACCCTAAGTCTGTGATCACCGCCAATTATCCTCATGCTTAATATATGCTCGTTGTCATCAAGAAATTCCAATCTTTCAGTACTTGTAGTGGCTGGAAGACCAGACTTGACATCAACTTCTCTGAGACTCCCAATCTCAAGGTTCCCCTGCACAACACACCTGCTGATGAACGGCTTATATTTCTGCGGTTGATCAAATCGCCTCACTAATGACCAAACCTAATTAAAAAAAAAAGAAAAAAGAAATAAAACTGTTATTCTTTGTCACAATCAAACATGCAAACCACATAAGAAACAATTCACTCATTAAATTTCCACTGACATAGCATTGTAAGTCCTATTTTCGATGAAAAAAGTGTGAGTGATTCAGTTTACTCCTTTATTACATACTCTTTATCCAGTGGGCATGGGCAAAGTTCAAACGCTGATGCTCCAACTGGTATAACATACAACAGGAAATGCAGAATTTCCCTCAGCCACGGCTTCCAAAGTACTCGCATGGCAGAAACAAATGATTCTTTTTAAAAAAAAAAAAAAACAACAACTAATCATCTTTTTTTTTTCCCAGAACTTGGATAATTTCAATTAGTAAAGGGCAGTAAGTGCAAAACCAAAATGAAAGCATTTATTGTCTCCATATCAGATTTAATTTTCAAAAACAAGAAACAAGGAAATAACCAGATAGAAAACTTTATCATTAACAAGAAACAAGGAAATAACCAGACAGAAAACTTTTTCATCTTTTCCCCTTTCTTGTTCTTGTTCTAACCTATTCCATAATCCTTCCTCTAAGCAAAGACATTAAAAAAAAAAAGAACAATACGGAAAATCATAGATCAAGATCAAATAATTCCTTCAAATAAGAAAAGATCGAAGATAACAAACCCCAACAATCCGAAACCAAAAGAACAATATCAAGAAACTTTCTATATATAGATCAAAGAGGAAGCCGAACGCAATTCGATGACCCTAGGGCTTCAAACACACATGCGCAGACATGAGAGAGAGAGAGAGAGAGAGAGAGAGAGAGAGAGAGAGAGGTACGAGATGAACGGGGGCTTTGATGTGTCTGGAGAGGACGGAGCTGCACTGATTGTCTCCGGTTTCGTGTCTATGGTGCCTCCGAATGAAGTCGCTCTCCAATCCCCCAATTCCTCCATTGCCGACCACCACTCCATTCCCAGTCACATTCATTTTTTTTTTACACAAAATTCACGAATCCAGGAGACACGAATTCAACAATTCCAAACGCGGCCGCCCTAACCTAGCTTCAACAACCTTCCAGATTTCAGCTTCCTCTCCCAGCGATTTCCAAATCAAATCAAAGAGAGGAAGAAGAAGAACTTTTAGTCGGCCTTGTTCTAAAATAAGGTCCACTCAACGCCGGAAAACGAAGCTCCGATCACCGGACGGCGACGGCGAGACTCGCCGAAGAAATCTTTGTGAGAGATTAATTCTAGAGAGAGAGAGAGAGTTAGGAGTGGCGGAGTTAGGAGCGCAGAAGACTCACCGCCATAGATGAACCGACCTCAAGCCCCTCTATCATCCTCATCATCTAAATTAAAAGTCTTTTACTAAAAAAAAATATTTTTTTATTAAAATATATATTTTTTGTTCACGTATTTATTAAATGCTCCTGAGAAAAATGCCCTTTGTTGGAGAGAATAATTACACGTTTGCCAGTTTTTGTCTGTTTCTGCGAATCTGTTTTCAATCTACTTCTATTTGGCCTCGGGAAAAGAAAATCTCATTACTTCATCATAACAGATTTCAACTTTTTTTTTTCTTAAAGTGATTTTAAGGGGGAATTTTTAGGTAGTACTTTAAAAAAAAAAAAAAAAAAAACGTCATAGTGAACTTATTTTAAGTAAAAACGATAACTATGGAGATGAGGAAACACAACCCACCTAAAATATACACATATTTCAAAATGAAAGTCATGCATGTGATTTATTTTTTAAGTACCGGTTTAGTTTGTTAATTTAAATTTTTAATTTAAGTTGTAATGTGATTTTATGTGAGAGTTTTTTACTGTAATAAAACTTAAATTTTAAACTCGAATCAGCAAAATAAATAGGTCGGTTTAATTCGCTGATTTAAATTTTTAATTCGAGTTGTAATGTGATTTTATGTGAGTATTTTTTATTGTAATAAAACTTGAATTTTAAACTCGAATTAGTAAAATAAACGGAATATAAATGTGTATTTAGTATTTTTTTTCCTTTTAGAACTTGATGGTTTTTTGCTGATTTTGAATGCCATGGTGAGGAATGAGATGAGTGTCACGGTGGGAAATGCCCTAAAAAGAATTCTACGACTTTGTTTCCTGCTTTCTTTAGCCACGGATGGGAGCGGGAATAGAGATGGGAAAGCATTTCCTAATTCCTACCCAACTCTCCCCTTATGATCCCTAGCATCGCATCAGAGGATTCTAATAATTCTAAAAATGATCACAAGACATTATAGTATAATTGTTAGTAAGTCACATAAAAAATAATCAAATTGGTGTTAATTATGAAATTATTTTTTATTAGTGCTATAAAAAAACTTATTCGGATTTTATCATCCTTTTGTTTTCATATTTTTTCAGAAAAACAATTTTCGTTTTTTTTTTTTTTTTGAAGTTGGAATTGTATTGATCTGCAGTATTTATGAGTTTTAGTTATAACTTGAGTTAGGCATTCTTGAAATTCTTTTACATTTTTGAGTCAGGCATTCTTGAGTTGAGTTTGAGTTATAACTTGAGTTGAAATTATAACTTGAGTTTGTGTTTAATTGTGTACATTTGAGTTATGGTTTGAGATAAGAATCGTTTTCAGTTTGTGTTTGAGTGAGTCAAAACTTGAATTTGTATTTAGATAGTATTAATAAAAACTCAATGCTGATGAAAAATTTTAATAGGGTATATAGGTGGAGTTTTATTCGCTTGTTCGTTATCAATGCATAGAAAAAAAAATCATCTCAATCAGAATTAAAATGAAAAAGTTAGAGTATTTTTAAAAATAGAAAAAATATTGTTCATTAATTTGAGTTTGAGTTTCTGAACTCGAGTTGAAGGGAAAACTTGAACTCAAATTTTAGTCACAAACTCGAGTTCAAACTTAAAAGAACATAAACTTCAATAAAGTTGTAACTTAAGTTGTATTTTTTGACTTTTTATAACTGCCGAACAGCCCCTTAATTTTTTATACTGTTGTTAAGTAAAAGTGATAATTATTCATATATCCAAAAGCATAATAAACTATTTTTCCTTTCGGTGTATGGTTTCTCTCGATGATTTGTGCAATATAAACTTTCATTTTGTCAATTTGAAACACCATATTCATTCGGATCAAAACAGTGCATTTGGAATCATTAGATACAATATAAGATGGTCATTTCCATTTAGCTCGACATTTTTTTTTCTTTATTGAAAAATACAAAGCTCAAGTTACCGGCAATTGCAAAAAATGATAGTTACATTTGTAATTTTATAATCGGCTATATCTTTTGCAACTCAATTCACATGGTTTAAGTTGCTGCATAAGTCTCTCAGACCAAAAAAAAAAAAAAAAAAAAATGATGGCCAAGTCATTTTTGTTGTTACTTAGGCCTTGCTTTAGCAACAAAACTTTTATTTTATTGTTTAGTTTTTTATTAAAAGCAGAATGAAGGTTAAAAATCTTCTCAATATATAGTTTTCACCGTCCTTTTCACTTTATAAAAAATTAAAATAAACTTTTTAACAAGCAACATTAAAATATTTGTTTCGGTTACGAATTTAATTTAGGATTCACATGGGCTATCGAACAATGTAGATAATATCTACACTATATATTATAAATTTTCATAGTCTCAACACATTTGCAATGAATTAAAAAATAATGATGACGATCCATCTTTTAGTTTTTAGTTTTTTTTTTTTTTTTTTGTTGCTTGGAATCTTTAGTTTTTAGTTATTAGACAACGTAACATTGACGCGAATTTCACATAGGTTTTACTACTATTTAAAGGTTCTTGCTGCATTAACCTCAAAAATTATGTGAAAAGGTGAAAATGTCATTCAATAGCTCAAATGGCCAACTTTCGGAGTCGCCGCTTCATAGATATTAACTGAGGGCTACCATATTTAAAAGGAAAATAAAGAAAAACTATTAGTTATCATTAGTTTTATTTTCTTAAACTTTTCTTTTAATTATTTGCTAAAGACATTCTTTACGGTGGGGTAATTACGGAGTTCACTAGAACGAAGATTAAAAATTCCTCATTCAATAGTTGAGACTTTATGTTAATTTGTATTTTAATTGCCGGCCTGCTGCACAGTAAAGAATGTCATATTTTTTTTTTTAAAAAAAAAAAAAAAAAAAAAAAAAAAAAAAGGGCAATGAGCATTCAACAAATAAAAAAAAAAATTTGTCTTGTCCCACTAAGAGCAACTCCAACTCTGCTAGTTATTTCATATTTTTAGCTAAATGATTAATGATTTAGCTCTTTTTTTTTCTTTTTTCCACACTAATTATTAGCTAAATAGTTGGCTATTTTGAAGAATACATTTTACACTAACTAAATATAGCTAGCAAGAAGTGACTAGCTATTTGTTTTTTCTATTATTTTATTCTTTGAAATCACAATAAATGCAAATGTTATTTTTTAAATTAAATAAAGTTATTATATATTTAAATTCGATAAGTATTAAAATAAGCTATGTTTAGCTAAAATAAAGAGTATAGTTGGAGTGACTCACCAAAAAATTGCTAGCTAAAATAGCTTTCTAACCATTTTAGCTAAAATTTAGAGAGTTACTTAGTCCTCGTTCGCTTCGCAAATTTGAGTTTTCAATTCGAGTTGAGATATGACATTTTTTGAGAACTTTTTAACTGTATCAAAAAAAGTTAGATGTAACATTTTCTGAGAGCTTTTAATTGTAGAAATCTAAAACTAAAAACTCGAATCGGTGAAATGAATGGGCCTTAGAGATGCTCTAATTATTACATTAATACTCAATCTAATGTGACGTATAACATTAGATCAGCCTCGTTCATTTCATCAATTTGAGTTTTGCTACAGTAAAAAGCTCTCAGAAACAATCACATCTAACTTTTTTACTACAGTAAAAAGCTCACATAAAATCACATCTCAACTCGAATTAAAAACTCAAATCAGCGAAGTAAACGGGTAATCTATTTTGGGTTGTTTAGCTTCTGCTTAATAGTTTCTTTTTTTTTTTTAATATATACAATTGTAATGGGAGAATTATGTGGGTCGGTGGAAAAGAAAAAAAAAATACCATGAATTTTCTCTAGACTGTCAAAATATGTATATATGTTACATTATGATATGTAATTTAATATTAAGAGACATTCATTGTACCGATTGAGATTTCTTCTAATATATGCTACATTATGATATATATAATTTAATATTAAGAGACATTCATTGTCCCGATTGAGATTTCTTCTAACATAAGATAAGATCTCACAATAAACAATACAAAACCATTAAGCTCCTTAAGCCAAAAGAGAAAATTACTATTCTTAAGCTGGTATTGCAATATTTATAATAATGTGATGATTTCTTAATAAAGAAATAATGCAATGATTTAATTTTGGCGGATTTGAAACTACGCCTCGCTTACGCATCAAGGGATAAAACTCATCGAAAGTTTAGCAACATAAACTGCACATAATTATAACAATATATAAATCATGCATTTAGGACGTCTTGCCTGAATTTGACCAGACAAAAAGCACACTTATCTTCCATGGAACTCTATTATATATAGGCAAGTGAATTTATAGTTTTTTATATCAACTCTCAAGTCATCCGTATTATATATATATATATATATATATACATTATATGGTGTTGTTATAATCCATTCACAACTCAAATTTTTTTATGTGAGAAAAAATACAATAAAATTAAAGGCTTTATAATCTTGCTTTCTGAATAGAAAACACAAATTAAAGGGTCAGGGTGGTGAAAGACATTATTAGTTTTTACGGATTTATTAAAATAATCTTAAATGAAACCATCAAGCAAAGATAAAAGCAGGGACCACAAATTTTTTTTTTTAAAATATCGAAATAAATAGAAAAAGGAATAATGGTTGAGATGTAAATTGCACGTGAATAATAGGCAAAACAAAACAAAACAAAAAAAAAAAGGTGAAGTACAGAATGAAAAGTGAAATTTATTTATTTATTTTTTACTGTTGTCTGATTATTTAAACTTATTTAGAAATTTAAAACAAAAAAAAACAAAAACAAAAAATGTCTTAACGAGCTAACTAACCATAGTTAGAATTTGGTCAAATATGATCATCCATTCACTTTTTTTTTTAATTTTTGTTGAAAATTACTCTCGATTAAATTTGTTATGATTTCTATGAATGATATTCTTCATCATATATGGCTAAAGTTAATCTCACTCCCATCTACCCATTGCTGTCTGCACATATACCAACAAGAGACTTTATTTGACTTTCTAATTTTCCAAATTATTAATTGCGTTTAGTTTTGAACAAAAATAATGATGCAGATTACCCCAAGAGATTGAACCATATTAGGCGACATTTTTAAAATTAA